GGGGGCGGTAAAGACTAGAAACAGAAAATTTTATTTTCTGATCTGGAGACTTAGGGACCCTCGAAGGACAAGGAGGTCTGATGAAATGGGAAGAACAGGTCCTGGGGCATAATTCAATGGGCCGCGCATGCATTTTCCTCTGTCAGTATTTAACAGGTTAAAGAATATCAGTGAGGGTGAATCATTTCTGTTTGCAGCACAAAACACATTGAGGCAGAAACAAAGAAGCTTGGAAACTTTATATGCTTCGGGTCTCTGAACAATCAAAGGCCTTGTCTAGTCAACAGTTGGAGTAATTTTTCCCAGGGGGATTATTACGATTTGACAGGGATGAAAGAGTAGCATTCTCATGATATGTTTTCGTTTTCTGAGACAAAAAAACTATGTCTCTTTAAGAGGCGACGTTTCGATGTATATAGAAGTGTGTACAAATGCAGAGTCAGCTGCGTTTCTCACACTTCCTCTTCTGGCTGGAGGGAAGACTAAAACCAATCGTGAGACTCAGTCTTCAAACTTTAAAAGTTTGCTTGAAAAGAGACACTTTCAGAAAACTAGGTTAAGATTAAACTCTTAACGAGACTTCAGTTTTTCGGCTTAGAGGTACGGGTAGCTTCGGAAAACGCAAGTCCAAGTAATTAACTGAAAATTTCAAATTCATGGACAAGAGGCATAGATGTTTCATTACAGCAATAGAGTGCTTTTCTTCGAGATCCTCAACTCAAACTGTTATTAAAAATAAAGTTTAGGATTTCTAGTATTTAAACTCTCCAGGCAACGTGACAGAAAATGGGTATTCAGAGCTAGAATGGATGAAACCTACAAGCTATAAACCTGAGACTAGCTCTCCTTACATTTTAGGTAATGTTTTTCTACTCAAATTTGTTCTTGTGATCTCTAGGTCTGCAGAACTGGAGGGAAAAAATTTTTTGTGAACAAGTGGCACCAGAGGGACTGCAAAGCTACTTGCTGACGGTTGAAATCACGAAGCCATTACCATGTTCCAGCGCTTTCATGGGGAACCAGAAGAGGATGAGGGAGTGGACCAAGGCGTTGATGCAGTGACCCCAGAAAACCTACGGGAAAACAAACCGAGGGAGTCAGGAGCTGCCCACAACCCTTGACCTCTGCGTAAGCTAACAGACGCCTCGTTGTGACGGATGCCGGCAGGGTGCTGCGTGGCTCCAGGAAGCAGCGCGTTATTCCCAAAGTTAAAACAAAACGAAACAAAACGCTTTCCTCGTGTTTACACACGGATGACTGGACTCTCTCCAGATACTGTTATTTAGTACGAAGACCTAAATACATATACACATGTACGTAGACCAATATACAATCTATCCACATCTGAAAAATGAATTACGAACCATTTTCTTTAGAATCCTAAGAAAGACAGCAAAATTTTACAATCACCCAGAAAAACGGTATTGGGTCAAACCTGTCTGTTCACGAGAGACTGAAACTGTGTACTTTCTGAAAGCATTGGAAACATTTAAAATGTAAATTCTTACACAGCATTCTCATTCTTTTGTTTTACTCCTTAAAATCCCTCCCATTAAACTTTTTAATTTTTAGGATTGTGGTTAATATCATGCACACTTAAAAAAACTCTTTAACACTTGCAAGGCCAAACAAAAGAACACAAAGTTTAGCTTCTCGTAAATTATTGTTTCATAAAGGCACATCGACCACCTTTTTCACCACTGAGATAGCAATACTAAAGTAAGACTGAATTTACTTTAAAAATCTCCAAATTGTTCTGAGAATTGTCATATAGTTTGACCCTAGGTAGCGGTGGGACAACGGAATATAATGAGCAATTACAGGACAAAGGGATTTTCCCATTTTAAACGTTAATTTTGTCCACTTTTTCCCTGACCTCTGTGACGCGCCCCCGCCCCAGTCCCCACAATCTTCAAGGCGCCTGTGCTGCAGATAAGTTTCAGACCATTTTTAGCTCCGCTATCTTTAATGGGTCCATTCCTACTTATTTTACACCTTACCTGACCTTTGAATCTGTAAAAACGGGTTTGGTTTACGTCAATGACGCAGAACAAACAGGCCAGGTTTCCAGTGGTGGAGTCACAGTGAACAAGGGCTGACACGAGGCGTCACCCAAGTCTCCTTGTGTACGGAAGACACTGGGATCAACACAGTCCCTTCTAGCTTTTCCCCAACTCGGACATGCTGACCATGCTCTCCCTCGAATAAGGCGGCTCTGGAGGACGACCGGCAGTGATTCCTGGCTCAGACTGAAGCCTTCGGAGACCGCTCTGTCGCTGAGGACTACAGGGGAGTCATTTGCTTTCTCTAGGAATTTGCTAGCCCTGGGAGAGATAGGCTCTCCAGCAGGATCAAGGCCCCAAATATCAGAGTATCAAACATATAGAAAATAAGAAAATATAGGCAGCGCACCCATGAACAACGCGCTCTTCTGTTTGGTGGTGATGCAAGTAACAAATAAGCCTTTCCTGGGCTGATTTGGGGACTGTTTGTCATAGCAGCTGTTCCCACCCTGGCTAATACATCTCAGCTCAGGAAAGTTGTAAGGGTGAAATCCGGGAACCCCAGCTCATACTCCTTACAACATTACACCCAACCCGACTGTTTAAAATACACGTTAACACAGAGTTCATTAAAGGAGACACTGAAACGTAAGAAATAGTTACCGAATGACAACAAGGGCCCTTCCAGCCCAATTCTGAGTTTCTGCTCTGGACGTGTGAGACAAGGCATTGTTAGAGTTTTGCCTACCAGCCCCTTGTCTTTGACACAAACCAAAACAGAAGGCACGCATCGAATTTGGAAACCTGTTTTTATTGTAAGTGTCTCACACCTAGTTATTGAGATTTATAAGCTGTAGTTTCATTTGTATAAATTTAAAAGCTTCTAGAGAATTCTTTCTAGTTTTCAGTGAGTAAGTTCCACTCACTACGTTTCTAGGCTGCGGGCCTTCATGAACGTCCCTCACACTGCCCTGGCGTCTCAGCAGGGTTTTCCCGATGGCAGAGGCCACGTGGAGTTACCATTCCCCTTTTCTGTCCCCTTTAACATCTAATGCTCATCTCTGGATCTTTGTCATTTATTTTAGATCTCTTTAAGTGGGTACACAGTATGGTCAGTGACTTTTAAAGAGAAACAAAATGTGAACTTATTGTTTCACATACCTTACTTTGAAATATACAGTCTTTTGTTGGCAAGCTCTGTGACTGCAAGAGCCCATTCTTTTGACAGGTTTAGGACACAGTCCCGTCAGGTAGATTAGAAGTGTTAATATTAATGTGACGGTGAACCTACCGATTCCACCTCCTAAGCAGCCCTTTAATCCACCTGCTTCTCTCCACTGCTGCTGTCACTATACTGGACCAGGCAACGGCCGACCACCTGGACGCCAACAGTCATCCTTGCCAGTGCGGTCACTTGACAATAAACCAGGCACATGGCTCTCCACTTATCACCTACAATGGCTTCCACTAAACTTATACTCCAAGTACTGCCAGGTCCCAATGGGCCTGGGAAGGCCCAATCTCCCTGTCTCTCCCTTTATCACTCCAAGGCAATCTGGGTGTCACCACATCGCTCTCAGTCCTCACCGGTACAAACCTTCTTTCACTAGGAATCACGCCTTCCCGCCCCGTGCTAGTCCCATAAGCCTCCTCTCTACTCTTGACATGGCTCACT